GTCAAGGCGCGTATCAAGGACTATTTCGTGGCCCGCTCCACCAACGGCGAGGCCACAAAGGGTGGCGGCACGCTCACCTGATTGTAGGCTTACGCGAGCACCCCCGCCCAGACCCCGGGCGTCTCTACCTCCAGCCACTTGCGCCCTCATACACCCCGTCGCCCCACCTGAAACGGCAGCGGTGTGCGTTTGCAGCGCACCGCAGAGCACAACAGGCTTTGTGTCTGCCAGTCCAGAGTTTTGTTGACGGGCTTGGATGGGCGACGGCAGCTTGGTTTGGCGGACCGGGGCCATAGTCATGCCTATTGCATCGCCCAGGTGCCTTAAATTGCGTGGCCCTGCGTGGCTGCGCAATACCCTTTACACATGCACCACATGCGCACTCACCTACGCACGTGCGCCGATGCTTCATGCACACAACCTGCGTTTTGATGCCGCGGCAAGCAACCGCTGACGGCTGACATCGAAACGCCTCCGTGGGCCGGGCGGCGCTGGACGGCAAGGGCGTGCAACACTGTTTCCCGCGACGCACGCAGCACGCGCGGGCGTGTGGGGCGGCCGGGGCGTTACCTGCCCTTCATGCACTCTGGCTCGCGTTCAACCAACCCTTCCAATCGTCCATCCTCTTTCCCGCCCTCGCCCTCGCTTCCTGTTGCGCCCCAATGCCGCATGTGAATGTGGGCACCCCATCCGCCGCCCAGCGGCGGCGGCAGGGGCGGGCGACAGGCTCTCGGCTGAACTGGGGTGCACTTGGCAGGCCTGTGCTTGCACTTTGGTAATGATTTAGTGCCGGGACTGCCTACTTGCCTCGAACTTAAATCGCGCGTATTCTCGCCGCCTCGCCGTTTTTTGCCGCCACCGCGGCGCGTGCCCACCCCGCCCCGATCGCACGGGGCGCTGTCAGATTTTTTGAGGGGTGCCCGCATGCCGTCAGCAGGCTCCGCCCGCTGTGGCGTTTGGTCCTGGCGGCACCACGCATTGCATCACTTGCCGAAGTCTGGAACCCGAGAGCTGCACAGTACAGTAGACCGCCGGTGGCAAGCGCCACGGGTCGCCCCGCACCGCGCCTCCAATCCAACGACCAATAATACAGTCATTTTGCCATTCCTGAACGAATGCTGCCCTCCTTTTGTGTAATCAAACGTCGCATTTAAAAGTCAAAGAGCAGGAGTGCAGTCAATCGTGTGGTGATGGGCAGCACGGCGGCACTGCAAGGTGGGAGTGAGCAGCATGGACTCCACTGGCGGCACACCAATGAGCTGTGTGAGCGATACCTGCCCCTGAGGCTGCGTGGCTCGACGTGAGCCAGACCCTTGCCTTGCCGCAAGCTCACAGTCAGCGTGTGCGTACGGTACGAGTAAGAATTGCACAAAGTAAGTCGTGTGCACAAATCTGTCCGACGCCCTGCCTTGAGGAAGTAGAAAGTTGCCTCATGATTCTCTGTCTGCACAGTATTAGTCCACCATGGGGCCAGGCGATTGCTGGTTGGATCACACACATGTGGCACGTCACTGCGGTTGCGACGGCGGCGGTGTGCACACCTGCTGTACCGGTACTGCACCCGGTGATTCAGTGCAAGAACCCACCGTTATTAAATTGCTTGCTTCAGCTTCCGCACCGTGGTTTTCGCACACGCAACGAACATGGCGAAAGAGGGGCCGCTCAGCGAGCAGCATCCAAAACGGGAGCGGTTGGAGCCTGGAGGCGTAAGCTCGTTTGGTGAGTCACATATGCACCACATCACCGCTCAGCGGCGTGACACGCAAGCGGCCGGCCTTGCGCCGTCACGCTGCCGCCGCTGCGCTCGCTGCATGCTGCTTGCGCGTCGCCGTCGCGCCTTTCCAAACATCCCGACCTGCCCCGCTTGTTGCTGGCAGAGCGCCAGCTACTTATGAAGCCACCTGAGCGGCCCAACATATCGGCCGTGCCTCGCAGCGGCGGTGAGCTGGGAAGCAGTGCGCGTTGCTGATCGCCATCAGCTGCTTGGCACGAGCCGTTGAGCAGACTTGGCAATGGCAGCCCTTGCCGCTGGCTGGGGCTCGCCCTCTGCCTGCTGCCTTCGCATCTCTACCCTTCACGACAGCCGGCTCGCGCACTGGGCTCTGCGGCCGCACTGCGCACCCGCTCTGCTCCACCCCTTCCCGAAAGACCCCATCTGTGCCCCTCCCCAAATTTGCAGTGCTTGGGCGGCTGCAGGACTTCCTGCCAAAGATGCAGGCGGCCAACCACCAGCTGGAGCAGCAGTTGCAGGTGAGTGCACGCTGATGCAGGGATTCTGAGCGAATTCCGCACACACGGCCGGGGAGGGTTTGGGGCAGTGTTTGACAAACCGGCCAACCGCCGGTACAACCAGCGGGGGCAAGAGCGCCGCCGGGTCTACGTGCCGCATTCCCCGCCCTTGCTTCACTGACCAGTTGAACGTCGCATACCCGGCCCTGGCTCCACTCATTGTCAGCAAATTGCGTGCACCGCCCTTGCGTCACCCCCGGGTGCAACCCCCTGCTGACACGCCCGTTGCTCTGAGTAACAGGCTGGCGAGGTGACACTGGGTGACCTGGACATCGAAAACGTGGAGGAGGGCGGGGACGCACCCGTGATCGAGATGGTGCGCGCACGAGCAGCGCGGCTGCGGCGGCAGGGCGCGCACTGACTGCGGCTCGTGGCGGTTCGGCGTGCCACAGGCCCAGGACGCAGGGCGTGCCACCTTCGGTGCTGCCCCTGACACGGGCTGCGCTGGCGTGCTAGCTTGTACAGGAACGCACGCTGCCGGCCCTAAACCCTAAACCCTAGCAGGAGTCAACCCTCGCCGCACCAAACCGTCTGCCGCATAGGACCTGGCTTGCGGGCTGTTCGACATCAAAGACGGCAGCGCTCTGGCGGCGGCGGAGCGAGCGCTAGAGGCGGGGCCGCTGGCGGACCCTGGTGGGGAGGACAGCGACAGCAGCGACGACAGCAGCAGCAGCGCTGGCGATGGCGATGGTGATGATGATGCCGCAGGCGCGGGCGGCGCAGGCGCGAGCAGCAGCGGTCGCGGCGGCGGCGGCGGCGGCGATGCGGTCATGGGAGACGCAGAAGAGCGGAGTTTCAAAGGGGCCGGTGGGGTTCAGCTGGGCGATGGGGTGGGGTGCAGCGGCGGCAGCGGCGAGGAGCAGGGTCGGGAGGGTGCAGGCGGCGCGAGCGGGCCGGGGCGGGCAAAGAGGAAGCAGAAGCGAAAGCCCCTGATTGAGGAAGTCTGATCCTGGCATTGCCTGCTGCGGAAGCCCAGGTGGGCCGGTGCGTTTGCTGTGCGGCCACTGAGAGTGAGCGGCGTGCGGGACTTCCAAATTCAGTCCCTGATGCACTGGCTAGATTGTTGGGACTCTGGTTTCCGCCGCGGCGCTACATCAGCGTGATTGGTGGGTGACCCGTCAGCAATATGGATTAATCGCAAATTGTGTTGCATGTAAGCCTTACCACACATTGTGTTCAGCAAGGATCACCTCCAGATGTGTCAGTCGAAAGGAGCCAGTTTTGCTGCTCCCATCGTCGTGTTTCACCCACTACACTTCCTCCACTATTGGCATGGTGTCAGCATTGGCTTGAATTGATGCAGTATTGCCTATCGGCGCCAAACCTTCGAGTCTTGGATCTCTGCTCACATGAGGTGGCTCTCACCACAACAAGTGCGCAAATCGGGGCCCATCCATTAGGCCGCCGTCCTCTGCATCAACGCAAAAACACTGGTTGGTTTACCCCCCGGCCTGCCCCGACACACCTTCTGGTCGCGTTGTCATTGAATCATGCTTGCAAGACTATGCAGTTGGCCATCAGCGCTCGCCCTGCTGTGACTCCGTGGCGGTGTCACCGTTGAGCGGTGTAACCCGAAGCGTGCAGCAGCCCAGGACGACCGCTGGCTCTCCATTGTCAGCCTTGAGCTTGATCAAACATTTTTATCTAATTGCGCCGCTGCATCCACACGAAAACACAAAATTGAATTAGGCGTGCCAAAGGGACCTCGCACCTGCCGCGATTTCTGCAGCAGCACGCAACAACAACGTAGACTTGTATTCACACGCAGCACACCTTGGGCATCAGGACCTTGGAGACGATCCGGCAAGGGCGCTGCAGCTCGCTCTGTCGATTCGGTGCACGAACTACAGGTGAGACAAGATGCACAACCAGTCCAGGCACGGATTCAGTCGCATAAGCGCCTACCGGCTGCCGCACCTCAGCCGTCTGCGGGCTGCCGGGCGCTGCCGACAAAGCAGGCCTGGACTTCGCAGCGAGCGAGTGCGAACTGAGATGTTGACACCCCAACTACGCCTCCAAGCAGGGACGATACACATGGCTGTCAGCAACGGAAGACCTGCAGCCATGGCAACGGCGCTGCTGACAGCAGCGCTCGCGCTGCAGCTGCTCGCGCCTGCGGCTGGGCACGGCATGATGATCAACCCACGCTCGCGCAATTGGGCTGGATACCTTCAAGATAACTTTGCCTGGGCGCATGGCCTCAACATGGGAGGTGGGTGGGTTGCAAAAGGCTGCGATGTGGTGTCCCAGATAGCCACAGAGAGCAGGCGACCTCTTGGTGTCAAAGCGCAAGGCAGGGCTCAGCATGGGCCAGCGAGGTGCCTGACAAAGCCAGGACGGGCGCCTGCCGGAGGGAGCAGCGCATAGGTCCATGGCTTGCAGCGCCACTCATCAGCACCTGGCTGCCAAAATGTCGGGGGCGGAACCGGGCCGCGCTCCCGCCAGGCAACGCTTGACTTGCACCAACCCCATGCCTTACCCAATCTTGCCCCGCCTAGCAAGCATTGCCCACAGCACTGCGCGCTGCCTTGTCCCACACACAGGCGTGTCAGTGGTATCAGATAAGGGCCGCCTGCAGTACCCCAAGGGCCGCCGCAACTACTGCGGCGACGCACATAATGAGAACCGGTGGGACAGGCCGGGCAGCATCCAGGCCACCTATGCTGAGGGCCAGGTGGGGCGGCGATGGTGCAGCTTCTGACTGTCTCCGTGCCCTGATCGCACATGTGTTGTACATGTGTTTTTGAGCTCGCGCCACCTGTGTGCGACGGCGCTGACGTTGCGAAAGCGCGCCACTGAGGGCCCCAGCAAGCCGTCAGTGCGCCCGCCCACCTGCTCGTCCCTCCCACGCACGCCACCACAATGCGACCTCCTCCCGCCCCCCGCCAGGTCATCAACGTCGACACTCTGTTTGCGGTCAACCACATGGGCCGCATGTCCGTCCAGATCTGCAGCCTGGACGCTAAGCCGGGCCAGGGCAAGTGCAAGAACCTGTATTTGAAGGCCCCCGGCCACACCAACACCAAAAGCTGGTACCTTCCCAACGTGAAGGGCGGCTGGGGGGGCGGCAACTACGGCGGCGACGGACCGAAATACGGTGCGCCGCGGCGCCAGGCCTCATCGCCTTGCTTTGCGGGCGTGAACCTTGGGCTCGAGCCTGCCGCTGTTGCGGTGCTGGCTGGCTCGTGCATGCCCCTGTTGCGCGGCCGGATCTCACCCCGTGAAAGCATGCATATCACGCTGGCACCACGTAATCGAGGTGCCGCTCAGCCATCATGACACCCAAACTCCGCGCCGCTGCCTCATCGTCTGCCTCGCACGCGAATTTTACCCGGCCCCGCCAACCCCATTCTTCATTTTTTTACCTTATCTTGCAGGCGACGGGACCTTCTCCGCGTACACCCTCCCCGACATCACCGAGCGCTCCGGCTGGGGCTGCACAGGCCAGCGCTTCTGCAGCACGTTCAAGGGCATGTGGGTGTACCGCACCCAGTGGATGCTGCCGCAGGGCTTCAAGTGCGACCACTGCAAGCTGCAGTGGGTAAGTGGCAAATGCGTACCGGTGATTGCTAGGGAATTTGTGTGTGCAGACGCCGGGTGGCTGCCTGGTCAAATTGTATTGCGGCTACTGCTACCTTCCTGCCTGCTCAGCGCGTGGTGTGCAGCCAACTAGAGCATGGGTGCTCATAGAAACTTGGATCGGCTCATTAATTGTTTTCAATTTCCCCTCGCCCCGGATCATCACTCCTTACCGCAGACCTGGATCACGGGGCACAACTGCTGGCCGCCGTGCGAGAAGGGTAACCCCTTCCCCCAGTGCGAGAACAAGCAGCAGATGGGCACCTGCGGCGCCCCAGGAGTGGCGTACCCCGAGTGAGCACCACCCCCACTGCCCGCGTGCCCCCGCCGCCATCCTGGTGCCACGGGTGCCTGTTATGTTGGTGCAAAGCTGCCTGCGCTGCTCCACCTGCCACCTGCCCCACACTTGCTGCGATCTGCGCATCCCAATCCCCGCTTTCGCTCGCCTTCTTGCTCGCGTCTGCCTCTTAACCCTGGGCGCACATCCGCAACTGCCTTCAGGGAGTTTGTCAACTGCGCCGACGTGCGCATCATGGCCAACGCCAAGATCGACCTGTCGACCCAGTACCCACCGTGGAACAGCGCCGTTAGCATCAAGGGCGGCTACTGGGGCAAGGTTCAGCCCCCGGTCATCCACCAGAGGGACAACTAGAGTGGAGCGCATTCCATGTGCTTTCCGTCGGGTTGACCCTCGCTTGTGATCCAGAGAGGCGAAGAGGGGCTCGCACTCACGGCCGTGGCTGTTTTTAGGGCAGTGGTGCACGCGCGGCCTGCGCTGCTCGCACTCCCCCTTCTTTGTCGGGTGCCTTACACGGGCACTGCACACTGCGCCGGGCAAACCTAGTCTTGTCAAGGGGGGACCCAGTGCCCCCCACCATCAGCCCCATGTCTCGCCCTGCTGGGCACCCGCTCACTGTGCTGGGCGAGCAGGGCTTTGGTTTCCACTTGTGCTGCGCCACGCAGCAGCTCAGTGCGCATCCGCACTGCGCAGCTCTGGTTCCACTGTTGCCTTTACGCATTGCACTCCAGCCTGCTGCGCATACGCATCGGCCACTCTCTGTGCCCTCATACACCGCGTCCATCCAGCTCTGATACCATTGCGCTGCACAGCAGCCGCCTGTGCGCTGAGGGCCCCTCCAGGCCACACCCCAGTCGATGCGGAATTGTGCAGCGGGCAACACACGTAGCAATTTGGGACCCCCGGAGATTCGGATTACCCCAGAGCTGCCTGACCTGAACCTTGGAAGTGTTGACCGTCAAAGGTCCGCTTTGTCGTCACAACCAAGTCGCATGCCAGACAACATGCACACTCACACAAGTGCATTTGTCACTAAGGGCATGAGGACAACACTGTATGCCATGCACGCACGCGACTTCGCACATGGCATGCGCAGACACAAATCGTGCACACAGGCACACGCACGTTTTTGCGCGCACACACACACGTACACATATACACTGTACTACACCACCACATGCTGGATGTGCGATGAGGGCATCATCGTCATGGAGTTGGCCGCAGCGCTGCCAATGACAGCGCGGCTATGGCATGACAGTATGCCTCGAGTGGGTCACATGCGCACTACTGGCGCATGCGACGCACGGAATCCCATGTCACAGACTCCTGTGAGTTTTGCATGGGGTGAACGCCATCCAATGTAGAATTTTATACATACTGGCTGGATTGCACTTTCCAGACGCGACGCCCACACTTATACGCGCGCTTGCACCCCGCCATTTGGCGTCGGCTCAATTTCATCTCACTGTGACACCCCGACTCCCCCATGTGGGGTTGCAGCCGCGGCTTCATCCGCCGCCCAGAGCAGGGCGCCCCTCGTTGGCACCCACTCGCAGGCGATGAAGCTGGTTTCATCAGTTGGTGGCTGGCCATCGGCAGACTCTGTGCGTGAGGGACCAGCACTGCGCAGACGGCTTCCAACTTGGAGGCAAGTGCCTGCACACACTCTCCAACAGCCGCCACCGTTTGGCTTTTATACGCCCTGGCACAACTAGGTCCGCCCGCCGCTTAGATGCACTTATGATGTTTGCTCCCTGCCCCGCCTGCAAAAACCCCTCTTCTTGCCTGCCATCTGATCCGGCTGCGTCTGGCGCACCACGGCCAATGCCGTATGCCCTGCACCTAGGCGCCGCCTACTTTCCCTGGGCCAATACATTCATAAGCACCTCCAGTCTTGCCCCAGGGCGTTCGTCGCATGAGCTGCCGTCCCGCACTTCCCCTTTGAGAGCCACGTCCCAGAGTGCTGGGCCGATAAACTGCTTTACACAAAATAGCCCTGCTCCCTCTTTACGGCTGCTGATACATGTAAGAAAGGTGGTGACCAAACAGTGAGGATAGATGGTGATCATAATATGAGCTGTGAGCGGGGACAGTAGCACAGCGCATGCCACACATGCACGCTTAAGTCCTGCCTACCCAGTATCACTCGCAAGGTAAGCAACCTTAGATGCATGCATGGCTACTGACTAGACACAACGCACCCCAGCACGACTTGACCTTATAACCCTGACGAAATATCTGAGGTGGACAGAAGAGTTCATGGCTCATCAGTAGCTGCAAGTGCTGCACAGTAATGAAACAGCAGCGGGGCCACCATGCCTATGTCACCTTCATGGCAAATTTTCAGGCTGGACCTGCCCTTTTCAGCTCACCTCCCTCGTGCCATCCTGACTGGACACTCGCTCGCCACCAACTAGCCATTTGCGTGGGCAGCTTCCATTTTCGAGCTTGTTGGACCGGATTTGCCAGCTTTGCTGTCGGCAGCTTCTTGTGGGGCCTGACAGGCTCAGGGTTTGCCTGGATGCGGTCGATGCGGAGTGACGAGCATTCAGCACTTATATGCCGAGTGACATCCAGTCTCCTACCATCTGGACAGGCTTGAGGCAGGCCCAAGCCTCGTAGCCACTGACATGACGTTCAACAGTCCGCTGTTTATATCCAATTAGCTTGGATAATTGCCTCTATCTGCCCAGGGTGCTGGATGGTCATCGGTCAACCACCTGATGCCCACGCTTGCCCTTTGTTGAATTCCAACGTAGGTGAGTGCGCATCAGGCGTGCAAAGCGTCAAACCTCTTGTCAATTTGTACCCGTGGTCTACCAGGTCATCACGCTCTGCTCAACATATCCAGCCTGCCGGCTGCTGCCATGGCTGCATCCCCTCTTGCGGACGGCGCGCTCAAAGCGCCAAAGCCCCCAGCACTTGGACGCCTTGCGCCGGCTGGTGGGGATCCAAGCCGAGACATTTGGAGGGGCGGTGGTGTAATCCCTGAGGCAGGCCGCTGCTGCTGCTGCGGCGGCGGCGGCTGCAGCTGCTTGTCCTGCTCCTGTTCATTGGCTGCTGCTAATCTCCCTGCCGGCTGCGTCTGCAGCAGCTCGGGCCTTGACATCGACGCAGCACCACTTGGTGGAGCCGGGGAACATGCTGGGCTACCGCCGCTGCTCTCCTTTGCGAGAAAAGGGTTTGCATCAATCAGCCCCCTCGGAGTCGTGCTCGCATGTCTGCCGCCGCCACCGCTGCCGCTGCCGCTGCCCCCAGCCCCTCGGTCAGACCTGGCCGTGAGCCACCCAGGAGAAGCGGCCCCACCGGTCCCACCGCCGCCCGCTGCCGCGCTTGCCGGCCGGCTGCCGCGCCGGGCGCTCAGCGGCCGCGCGTCCCTAGGGCTCCGCGTCTGGCGCGGCGACGCACCCCGCTGCTGCTGCTGCTGCTCCTGCTCCCGCTGCTGCTCCTGCTGCTGCGCCGCGGCGGCCGCGGACGCGGCGGCCCGCGCCGCCGCTTCCGCCGCCCACCGCTGCTCGACAACGATTGGCTCTGCCAGCAGCAGGTGGCCCAGCGGCGTCTCCCGCAGCGGCAGCCGCGCGGCGGCGCAGGCGGCGCGCTCGCACTCCAAGCGGCCGGCCTGCCATGCTTCCTCGGCGCCCAGCTGGGGCGCACAGAAGTCCGGGACGCCCGCCTCCTCCCAGCGCGCGTCCTCGCCCGAACGCGCGGCGGCTGCGGCGGCAGCGGCGCTCTTTTCCCAGGGGATGGACACAATGGAGCGCTTCATCACTTGCCATGCCCCTGCTGTATGTGCCCGACGGCGGCGGCCAGGTCCAAGCGTGCGGCGGGGCAGCAGGGTGGGGCGTGGTTGGCTGGAGGGCACCTGGTGGTTGAGGCATCTGGTCGCGCCTCAAGTCTGTGATGCAGCTTCTATGCACATACGGGCCCCAGGTCTGCAGGGCTGCGGGCAGCCCCCTGGGCAGAACGCTCACCGTCTGGGGAGCCCGTCCGCGACGCTGGCTGCCGCCAGCCATCGCCCGAGCCAGCTGCGCCCCATCCGCTTTTAGTGGGAAAGCTGCTCTCGTCGCCGCCGCCACCTGACGTTCCTTTCAGATTCTCCCGCTCCCACTGCTGCTCGTGGCGCTGCGCCTCCGCCAGCAGGCCCTCAAACTCGTGGCGCTGCTTCAAGTCTTGCGCGGTCTTGGTCAGCAGGTGGCCGGGGGGCAGCAGCTTGGAGAAGCGCAGCGCTACGGAGAGTGGCGG